GGGCAGGCGGGGCGGGGCGGCCTGGCCGAGCAGGGGAGCTCGCACACCATCCGGTGTCGGGGCTGGAAGGGAGCTCACAGCCCTCGGGGTGCAGCCGGGTGGGGGCTGTCCCGTGTCCTCTGGAAATCCCCCCGTGCGCGGAGGTTATTCCCCGGCTGCGAAGGAGGCTTTCCTGGAAGGAAGCCTCAAGTTTGTATCCGTTCCGGGGTGAGTTGTATCCGTTCATGGATACAAACTCAGCTTGTATCCCTCGCGCTGCGCTGCCCCGAGGTCGCGGGCGCTGGCCGGGCCCCTCGCACCTCCGCCTCTTCCGGCGGCAGAGGGGCGCAGGGTCCCGCTGGACCTGGGCAGCTGGCGGATGAGAGGAGGACGGAGTTCACCGCAGACACGTGCAAGGTGCTGCGTGTGGGGAGAAGGGACCAGCAAGGCGCCTCTGGGCTGGGGACACCCCGCTTGTCAGCGCTGCGCAGAAAGGGGGCTTGGGGCCGTTGCTGACTCCAGGATGGACATGAGCTGCCAATGCGAGGACGCGGTCAGGGAGGCCAACCGCACCTTGTCGTGCATCCACAGATGCATCTCGAGCAGGTCCAAGGAGGTGATCCTCCCCCTCTACGCGACACTGGTCAGGCCACAGGTGGAGTACTGCATCCAGTTCTGGGCGCCGCACGTCAGGAGGGATGTGGCCAGCATGGAGAGGGTCCAGAGGAGGCCACTCGCATGGTCAGGGGGCAGCAGGGCAGGCCCTGCGAGGAGAGGCGACGGGACCTGAACCTGTTCAGCCTCCACGAGAGAAGGCCGAGGGGGACCTGGTGACCGTCTATAAACTCACCAGGGGGGACCAGCAGAAATTGGGGGAGGCTCTGTTCCCCCAGGCACCACCCAGGATAACAAGGAATAACAGCCACACATTGTTAGAGAGCAGGTTCAGGCTGGGCATCAGGAGACATTACTTTACGGTGAGGGCTGCCAGGCTCTGGACTGGGCTCCCGAGGGAGGTGGTGCTCTCCCCTCCCTTGGGGGTCTTCAAGAGGAGGTTGGATAGAGATCTGGCTGGGTGCTATGATCCCAGCAACCGTTCCTGCCTGGGGCGGGGGGTCGGACTTGATGATCTGTTCAGGTCCCTTCTTGCCCTGGAAACTATGAAACTATGAGGCCCAGGACTCTCAGCCTCTCCTCGTAGGGCTTGCCGTGCAGGTGCCTGATCATACAGGTGGCTCTTTTCTGGACTCTCTCAAGTTTTTCCATGTCCTTATTGACATGCAGCGCCCAGAACTGGACGCCGTCGTCCAGCTGCGGTCTCACCAGTGCTGAGTACAGCAGGAGTATCACTTCCTTAGGTTTACACGAGATGCATGGGTTGATGCAGGCCAGCGTGGTGTTTGCCCTGCTGACCACCGCATCGCACTGACGGCTCCTATTCATGCAATGGTCAGTCATTACCCCTAGGTCCCTTTCGGCCATGGTGCAAGTCAAGCTGTCACCACCAAGCCTGTATGCATGTTGAGGGCTGTTTGTCCCCAGATGGATTACCTTGCACTTGGAAGTGTTAAACTTCATCTGGTTTCAGTCCTCCCAACTCTCTAGTCTGTCCAGGTCCACCTGTATCAGCAACCAATCTTCTGGTGTGGCCACACTGCCCCATAACTTGGTGTCATCTGCGAACTTGGCCAGCGAGCTTTTCGCTCCCCCATCCAAATCATTGATAAAGATGTTGAAAAGCACCAGTCCAGGCACAGACCCTGGGGGACACCACTGCCCACTTCGCGCCAGGACGACACGGATCCGTTCATGGGGACTCTCTGGGTCCTGCCCTGGAGCCAGTTTCCCACCCACTGAACCGTCGAGCAGCTGAACCCACAATCTTCCAGGTTTCCCACAAGGATATCATGGGACACTAGATCAAAAGTCTAGGTTTATAACATCTACCTCATCTCCCTTGTCCAGGTGGCGAGAGACCTGGTCGTAGAAGGAGATGAGATTGGTAAGACAAAAGCCGTGCTGGCTGCTGTTCAGGATCTTACCTTCCACCAGCGTATCACACATAGACTCCTTAATGAGCTTTTCCAGGATTTTCCCTGGGATGGAGATTAGGTTGACTGGCCTATAGTTGCCCAGGTCCTCCCTCTTCCCCTTCTTGAAGATGGGCACAATGTTGGCCCTCTTTCAGTCATCAGGGATTTCCCCTGTGTGCCACGATTTCTGAAAGAGCTTTGCCAGGGGTCCTGCAATGGCCTCAGCCAGCTCCATCGGCACTCTTGAATGAAGTCCATCTGGTCCTGCTGGCTTATAAATGTCTAGCTTTTCTAATTGGTGTTACACCCACAGTGTCCGGGAGGCTGCCATTCCCGGCTGCCATGCGGTCCAGGTCTTGGGGGCACTGGGGTCCTGTCCCAATCCAGGTCTTGGGGGCACTGGGGTCCTGTCCTGGTCTAGGGCTGGGGGCACTGGGGTCCTGTCCCAGTTCAGGTCTTGAGGACACTGGGGTTGTGTCCTGGTCCCAGTCTGGGGGGCACTGGGGTGTGGGTCCAAGCAGTGGGTGTGGGAACAAGACAGGTCAGGTGACGGGGAACCCAAGTTTGGGGGACATGGGAAGAGAAAACAGGGATGAGAGTGAGGGTGACAGGGCTCAAACAAGTGCTACAAGGGGGGCACTGGGCAGTGCCCGCTGGCCCGAGCTGAGCCAGGAAGCTGGAGGGTCGGGCAGAGCACAGAGTCAGAGGCCGAGCCCGGAGACCAAGCAGAGCACAGGATGCAGGTATACACTGAGGTAGGAAGCTGCAGGGAGCGTGGAGTCAGAGGGCAATTGGGTCAAGGAGCCCGGCGACCAAGCGGTGAGCAAGGAGAGGCATGGACCACTTCTGAATCGGCTCTTCCTAGACCTTCAAGGCTGGAGGCTGCACGTGGGAGAGGAATGGGAAAAAGCCCTAGTCCGACCCGGCTCACTCTCCCTGTCAGCATCAGCTCTCTGCCACTGTGCAATGCACAGAACAGGCCAGATGGACCTATGGGGAATAGCAGTCCTGATGTTTTTACCCTAAATGAAAAACCGACTGCCCAGGGAAGGCGGCAGTCATGGTGTCCGTTGAGCTCATTATCAGGTGTCTGATTCCTTCTAAACTCTTCATCCCACCCACAGGTGTTAGCAACTCCCTCTCCTTTTTTAAAGGTTTGATATTGCATCGATCACAATCGTTTCTTCTGCTGTCTACTAGTCCTGAGGATGTGTTTCTAGGAGGCATTTCTGCTATTTCACAGCCCTGCCGACTGTTTTTAACCCTAGCATCAAACCTTAACTCGAGTGTGGAAATGTTTCCTCAGGTGAGCATTTGCTCCGGTGTGGAAACAACTGCCAGTGAAGCACAGGACGTGCTGTCAAGATGCTTGAGAAGGCTAGATTGTGGTTGGTGACTCTGAGAAAGAGTCTACTACAGGCCTAATGAAACAGCATCTTTTGATTCGTTTTTGCCTAGTTTGTTGTGTTTTTTGTACCAAATGTGAGAGACAGCACATTAATGCTATATGCGTTCCAGTAAAGTTGTATTTGTTTTTGCTTTCATCTTTAAATAATATAGACCTAGGCTCCTAGCATATTAATAAAACTTCTTGTTTCTTTTTAACTGGAGAAAAATATATATCGTGGAATATGTGACGATGTATTATCCGCACTGCGGTTTCAACCCCCTGGCTCTGCCCGATGCGTGGAGTGGGCCCCCTGTTTGGTGTGTGTTACCCGACGGGGTGCCATCCATGACCAGAGATAATAGCACGGCAAATAATGAGTCATAAGCAGTATGGGGCGCTCCAGTTTATAGACATACATGAGTTGCTTTACTGCATAATGCAAGAGGCAAGAATTGTTGTGGGTGATTTCTTGTACTGGGCCAGCTGCACGGGGGGATAGACTTCGGATGCAGACCATTTTAATGGCTGGACAGGTTGCAAGCAAACAGATGTCCCAGCTCTTTGTCATGCTCCAAGTGCCAAGACGTTGCTGTGACCAAGGGTAGTCGCAGCTGCTCCAGCTCCAGAGTTGATGTCTGTTTCCAGCCTTAGACAAGCTTTCAGGTGTGTCATAGGACCCTTCTTTGGGTCTCGTTGTATAATGTCCTTTTAGTCCCAATGTGTTCCTTGTTGCTTATGTTTGAACAAACAGCAGTTAGTCAACTGCCTAATTAGCGCATAGGAGCACCCTCTGCTTTATATCATTATACTCCCTTTAACAGCATCATTTGACTGATTAGAAGCGGCCTGTCTCAAGGCGGCCTTGATGTGAGTAGGTCCCCTCCGTTTCAAGGCTGCCGTTAGAGGTAAATAGGACTCTGTGAAGTAATATAAGGAGACATAATGGGTGCGTCTACACGAGACGCTAAAAGTGCAGTAGATTAATTCTACTGCACATTAAAGCGTCACAGCAAAAGCCATGCTAATGTGCAGTAGAGTTAGTCTACTGCGCATTAGTGTTACCTAAAAGATGTACTCTGGTGCTACTGCACAGTAGTGCCAATTACTGCACATTAAGTTAGTACCTGTTATTACAGGTGCTAAACTTAATGCACTGTAACTATGCTGCATTAATGCACGTATAGATGCACCCAATGTGGTGTGAAGCGTTCAGTGCAGGCTGTTCCTGTAGCTCAGAGGTGGCTGATCTGTAGCTTGCAGCCTGTGTGTGTGACACATGGCAGATTGGGGATGGGATAGGCAGCACAATGGCAGATACAGCAGGGAGCAGTAAGTATCAGATGGGGCAGGAGCATAGGCCAGGGAACAGCAAGCAGAGCAGCAGATCTAGCAGGGAGCATAATGTTGGAAGCAGAAAGTGGAGCAGCAGTTTGGTCAGGAGCAGAAAACTCAGCAGCAGATCAGGTAAAGAAAAGAGCTTAGAGCAGCACTCAGAGAGGGTGCCAAAAAGTTGGTCTCCATGGCTGCTGTTAATCAGTATTGTTCGCAGTGAGCTGGGGGCAAAGTGCATGGCCTTTTTTCAGTCCTCAGCCAGCCCCCTTATACGGAGTATACCAAAGACTTGATATTTTCAGAAGTGTCCTGAAGGCACGATAAATACTTTGTATAATATTTCTCCCTTTCTGCTCCCAAAATTATCTTCACTGCCTGTTAATTTATTTCTGGCACATCTAGCTGTGTGGCCAGTTGGGCTCAGGGGATGAGGTAATGAGACCTTTACCAAGCCTGAAGTAGATTCCTCGTTTTCTGTTATGTTCTTGCTCGTCCTATGCTGATGCAGTTTATGTTGTCTTGTGTGTAAAACCATTGTAAGGAAAATATCAGCCAGCCTTCAACAAGCAGATTTGCTAGTGATCCTTTTAAAAAGTCAGTACTGGGAAATATGAAGCAGCCTGGAGAATGCTAGCGGTTCTTGTCAAAATTGTGGTTGCAGGTGATTTGCAAGGACAGGACCCCCGCTAGCTCCATGTCTTTTCTAGGTGATTTGCAAGGACAGGACCCCCGCTAGCTCCATGTCTTTTCTTACCAATAGACTCTAGGATGGGATATGGGATCCCGGCACCCGGTGTCTTTGAAGCCTGCTACTGTCCGCGAAAGAACTTTCCTGAAAGAAACCCAGCTGCAAGCTGCAGAAATGTCTCTGTGCACTGTCCTGGCTGCGATTCAAGCCGTGGAGAGGAAGGTTGATTCTTATGCCAAACAGTTGCTGAGTCTGGAAGGGAGAACAGGAGTGGCCGAGAAGAAGATACCGGCGCGTGAGAAAATGGAGATGGAGTTTGGTAACCAGCTGGCTATGCTGGGAGCTCTGATCCAGGAGAATCATCTATTGCGAGGAGGCTGGAGAGCCTGCTGGAGAACAGGAACTTCTGGATCCTGTGGTTCCCCCAGGGGTCAAGTCCCCAAGGTAAGGAGATCCCATCCCTGAGAAGGAGCTGGTCAGAGGCTGTGGGGCTTCTCAGAGGATAGGGGAGGGAAGGGTGCAATGGGCAAAGAGACAGCAGGGCTTGGGCTGTCTCCTGTCTATCAGTTTGGTCCCCATGCGGTTTCAGTGACTGCATTTCAGACCACGTGTTGGGACTGACACTTCTTAGCCCTCTCTTCTACCTCCTTTTTTTTCTTTCCATTTCCTTTTCCTTTCACTGCATCGTCTTTTTTCTGTATCTCTTTCCTTGTGTCATTCAGTTCTTCTGTGAGCTGCAGGCAAGGACAGGATGGAGAAATGCTGGAGAACTCTGCTGGGATCGGACTAAGACAAGGACTCATTTCAATAGCAGTTAAGCAGTAAATGCAAGTCCCTACTTCTGATGGCTGATTATCTGCTTTTAATCTAGCACAAAAGCAAGGTATGTCAGTGTTTGAACAGAAGACGCTGAGTGTGTGATGCTTGTGATTGCAGGTGCCTGTGACGTTTGATGATGTCTCAGTGTATTTCAATGAGCAAGAGTGGGAGAGGTTGGATGAATGGCAGAAGGAGCTGTACAAGAACGTGATGAAGGGGAATTTTGAGACCCTGATCTCTCTAGGTTAGGATCTCTTTTTTTATTATTATTTGTTTAGTAGATTATTAGACTTGTAATTTCTGCATCTGAAGTGTATTTTCAAATCCCTTTAGCTTTTGGTAGATCAGTTCGTACACCTTTTCAAGTCTTTGTCATGTATCCTATCCACCCATCCTCTTAGCTAAAAAGACATTGAGATACAGATGGGCATTTTGGTCTTTCCATCGTTGTGCTTTGGATAAGGGCTCTGTTTGCTTATGCACTTAGAGTCCATCCCTCTTTCACCTATTATTGATCTTGCATGGAGTAAAATACAACTGATTCAGGTGTTTCCTGGAAGTTACCCTTCACTAATTTTCTTTTCACACCTGTGACATGTAATTTGTGTTTCTGTATTGGTTCTGTTCATGGACTTGCAGGCTTCGTGGTCACTTGTTCATTGCAGTGTTGTCTCAAGAAATCATTTTAAATCGATTTCAAGAAATGGTTGTAAGCTCCCTAAAGCTATGGGGAATGATAACTCCCTTCTGAGGCTGGAGCCTGGCTAGCCCTGAAGTCTGAACTTGAAAACATACCGCCTGAGTTCTTCCGGTTTCAGTATCTTATGTTGAAGTTGGCTAAAGAAGCTGCCGTTCTTTGCATCAGATCCTAAGAGTGCAATAGCAGCGCCACAAGGAAATAGGCGCCCTCCTTCACACATATATATGTGAGCATGCACATGTTGTATGTGCTAGATTGAAATGGGGAACTGACATGCAGCTGTCTGAAATCCTTCCCCAAGCATCGTTCTCACTGGGTTGCCTCTAGTAGTGTGAGTTGTCGTCCCTATGTCTAATCAAAGGGAGAAAACTAGTAAGTCCAGAGTAGGTGCATCAAAGATACCACCCATAGGCTGGCTCTAGGCTGCGGAGCCCATTTTCCAGCCTCCAGGTGCTGCCCCTCGGTCCACAGTCAACTCATATGCAGCATGCGGTGTACACCAGCCCAGCCCCACATGCAGGGCCTGGGACGCACGCAACCCCCCTTTCCCCAGCTGCTCCAGGAGGTGCGCTGTGTGCAGCACGGGTCCCTGACCAGCTCGGAGGGTGCTGCGTGCAGCATGGGTCCAGGACTGGCTGGTGGGGAGGGGGCATAGGAGAGAAGAGGGGCGCAGCTTCGTGGACCTGATATGGTTTGTAGGGCCAGCCATGTGCTATTAATCTGGCCCATGGACTGACCCCTTATGACATGCCCGGCCCACGAGAGCAGATGAATTTGACATGCTAGGGGTTTGCTGCTAGTCTTTATCAGCTCCGTGACGGAGGAGCTAAAGGGAGACTGTCATTCTCCACGCTTCTTGCTCCAGACTAGGTGTGTCCTTGACAAGGACTCTGGCCTTTCTGCAGGATTACAAGCAGGGGAGTAGATTCATAACCTGTGTCTAAACAGGGGCATTGAGTCCCTTCTGTGTTAAAGGTCCTGAAACATCAGCTCCTTATCCACCCTAAGTTCTGCTACTAGAAATGTTCTTATCAGTCTGTTTAGCTCTTTGTGTCATTATTGCCTCTGGCAGTAACCATAATAATTGAATACAGTGTTTGTGCAGCACCCTAAGAACCTGCACAGGTGAGTACTATAGAAAGACAAGCTATTTGTGTTTACATTTATTTGTAACAATACCCGATACGCGTTGGTAAACCCTGCTGTCCCTGGATATCTGTTTCCGTGCTCAGACTACTCGGTGTCCAAACCTGACATTTTGTCTTGGACGGAGCGAGGGGAAGAGCCGTGCATCAAAGATCAGCAGGATCTGAAGGAAAGGGAAATCCCTAGCTTCCCTGATGTTGGTGAGTATGTTGAGGCGCATGAAGGGATTTGTCTTTAGACTAAGCTAATTCATACATTCACAAAGTCTTTGCTCCAATTGCTTATATCTTCAAGCCATGTTGGAGTCGCACTCCTCTATCATGGTCCTTATTTATGTGAGAATGTTGTATGGATTCAACTAAATTGGTTTCTGAACCAGTTTGAGTAAATCAGTACAGCTTTCTGAACAGTCATGGTCTTAGCGGGTCTTGCTTTGGATTATCAATGTAATGGGGGCTGCTCTGCTCTAGTTCTGTTTAAAAGTAGACTATACTGAGTACTCTGAATCCATGTCAGGGGGTTGTGGTAGCATTTTCTCCTGTTTGGTCCTATATTGCTCTTGGATGTCTTGCCTTCAGGTCATGTTGTTTAACCACACTTTGTTGCTCCTGTGATGTGAGTGCATCTGTAGCTAGTAGGATCCTGATCTTAAAAGAACACGTAATACAATCATTGAAGCAGTTTCCTGCTACTGATAAGCTGGGTGGGGATATTTACTTACTCCCATTGTGTAGTTACACATCTACTCAAGTGTCCTAGGTACTTTATGGAGCATAAAAAAGCACTCTCCCAGCCCTTAGTGGTCTCAGTTTGGATGCAGTGTTAGGCTACAGTGCATAAGCACACAAGAGGAAGGCAGGAAAGGGAGCGGGAGATGGTGATGATTATCCTGGACTCCTTTGTTCACTGTACAGCATCTCTGATAAAGATGAGCTTGCAGGAGAGACTCTGGTAATGTTTGTAGTGGTTGAGCTAAGACAGGTAGCTGAATGAACCAAAGGAGGGTGGACTCCGTGGCTCTGTTCCTAGTAGACAAATCCTGCAAGGATGAAACTTCAACACTGGACTTATTTAATATGGAGAACAGAAAACTGAGGGGGGATTTAATAGCAGCCTTCATCTCCCTGCAGAGGGGGTGCAAAGAGGATGGGGCTGGGCTGTTCTCAGTGGGGGCAGATGACAGGACAAGGAGCAATGGGCTCAAGCTGCAGCAAGGGAAGTTGAGGGTGGATATTAGGAAGAACTGTCTCACTAGGAGGGTGGTGAAGCACTGGAGTAGGTTACCCAGAGAGGTGGTGGGATCTCCATCCTTGGAGGTGTTTAAGACCTGGGTAGACAAAGCCTTGGCTGAGATGATGGAGTTGGGGCTGGTCCTGCTTTGAGCAGGGAGCTGGACTAGATGTGACCTCCTGAGGTTTCTCTAAAATGTTCAGTAGATAGATAACAGAACTCCCTTCTCCCAAGAACAGATCCTCCCATTCCCACTCCTGATGTGTTAGCCCAGCTTGAACAAGAGGAAGAGCCGTGCGTTGGGGAACTGCAGGAGTTGGAAGAGAGAGCGATCCCTGCATGTCCCACTTCAGGTGAATGTCAATAATGTCAGAACCAAGCAGAAATGGTGAGTGAAGTGTGTGTGCGTGCGTGCACATGCACACACATGTACACGTGCTGTGGTTGTCTAACTGAATCACTGAGCTCCACCGGTTCTATCCCCTTTGTCTCTAACCAGCCCTTGTCTTGTCTCCATGGCAGGTGTCAGTCACTTTGACTATGGGCCGTGTATCCCTCACCTCACTCCTTCCTTTTCTGAGCTTCAGATGGACCCCAGAAGCAGAATTGTTTTCCTCCTCTTCCCTCCGGCGAAGGCACCAGGGGTATAGGTTTTTCACATGCTGGGGAGGAGACAGGACCCCAAGATAATCAGTTTAAAGGTAACTTATTGTTCTCACTGTGTTCTCTAGATGAGGTGTGATAGCTCTCCCCCATTCCCAGGCCGACACTGTGTCATAGTGTGGCATTACTTGGATTTATTGAGCTTAAGAACCTACAGTATACTGCATACGGTCTCCATCGCACAATGCTTGAATCTGGAGAATGGGATCAGCTGTTCAGAAAAATTTTCAAGCAGCAGATCTACAATTAATTTCTTTGCAGACTTGGTTTCTCCTGCTAACTAGACTTGACCAAGACTGCATATCTGCTTGTGCTTTCATTATCAGCACTTCCTTTCCAAAAGGTATTTATAAATTGGGTAATACCGGGGACTGATTTTGATCACGTAGAAATGAGGAGGGTGGCTCTTTACTGATATGCACAGATGCTGGAGACCGGAGGGGGCAGCTGAGGATCTTGGATCTGCAGTCACTGAGATTGGTTAAAGTCACCTTTATCTGAGGCTTAAATACTCCGATCACGGGCTGAACCCAGGTTGTTTGTTGGTATGCAGCCTTCCAGCCAGTATTGGTATTCTTTGGAGCAGTTCACGTAGCACCTGGTCAAAAGGGGCCCCGATCCCTGCTTGAGGTTTCTAAGTTTGACTGTAACGCAGGTAATCTGCTTTTTCAAAACCTAGCTTCCTGTCGTGTAGGAATATCTTGCTCTTGCAGGGTTTTAGTATAGCCCAGGCATATGAAAGCATCATTTGGACTCTTTTTCTGTTCTAGCACATAATGGGATTGAGATTAAAATGGAAGAGCTGTGTCCACGCCCTGTTTTTGGAAACCTGGAACTGCTCTGGATGTTGGCAAGGAGGGAGGAGGAGGACGTTCCTCGGAGCCCCGTTCTGGGGACGGGTTGTGACAGTCGGGGCCAGCGGAGGAGCCAGGAGGGGACTGCATCAGGGCAGTTGTCCCTGCAGAATAGGGGCACCCCTGACATCCAGAGCAGCTTGGTTCCCCTGCCGAGTCACTTGGGGGAGAAACTGTTCCAGTGCGGAAAGTGTGGGAAGAGCTTCCCGCAGAAGTCCAGCCTGGTGACGCACCGCTTGACACACACGGGCGAGCGACCCTACGCATGCGGCGACTGCGGCCGGCGCTTCAGCTGCAGGAAGTACTTTGTGCAGCACCAGCAAATCCACTCAGAGGAGAAGCCGTACAAGTGCCCGGTGTGCGAGAAGAGCTTCAAGCAGTTCTTCAACCTGACGGTGTACCAGTGCATGCACACAGGTGAGCGTCCCTATGCATGCCCTGACTGCGGAAAGCACTTCTACTGCAAGGTGTACTATGTGCTGCACTGGCGCCAGCACACCGGCGAGCGCCCCTACGTCTGCCCGCAGTGCAGCAAGCACTTCATTCAGCAGTCTGAGCTCACCAGCTACTACCGCACCCACACCAGGGAGTGACCCTACGTGTGTGGGCAGCGTGGAAAGAGCTTCACCCAGCAAGCAAAGCTCGCCACCCACCACTGCAGCCACACCAGTTGGCAGGCCCCAGCCAGGGTGCAACTGCAGCCTGGAGCTTGGCTTCCTGCTCCTGGAGAGGAGTCATGCCAAGAGTAAGGCCGCTGGGTGCTGTGCAGGGTAAGCTTGGCCTGCCACTTGGGCTGGTGAGGCATCAGATGAGTAGCAGAGGGGAGACCGCCTGTAAATGCCAGCGGGTGTAACAGCTGCTGCTGTTGAAAGACGCATCTACTCCATCACCAGTATATGCACGCCAAGGCGTGACCCCTTCCAGTGTGGGGAGTGTGGAAGGAGCTTCTGCTACTCCAGTTGCTCCCTTATTCAGGGAAAGCACAGCGTGGCGCAGTCACCCACAGTTTCCTAGAGCCTTTGGCAAAGGGTAGAGGCTGCCTGCTTGCCATGACACTGGAAAGCTAAAGGTGGCTCTGCTGTGACCGGACTGTAAATTGTGTCGGAGAGGGCAATGAGGCGAGGTGCCAGAAATGAGCATGCAGCTGGCCGTCCTCGTCTGACAAAGCAGAAGGAGCTGAAACACCCGGCGTCTCGTACATCAGCAGCCTCATTTTTGAGCCCTGTGAGGAGGGACCAGAATAGGGAATGACCAACCTGCTGTTGTTTAATGGTGTTGGGTGCTGCTGAATGACTCTCGGTGCCTGCCCGAGGGCTGGCTGAACTTCAGGTGTGGGTCAAGCAATGCCATGCATTTGTAAATCGGTCCAGGCCCCTTGTAAAGCTTTCACTGTTACTGTTTTGTTCTCTCACGCCTGTGCTACAGTAATGAGAATACCCGCACAAATACGTTTGTCATTTTGGTTAAGGAAAAGGGAAATGGGTACTTTGTGGATTAAAACCCCTCCACCTTAAGAAGTTTAATTTCATGTCACTCCAGCTGCAATATTGGGGATTTAGGCTTGGAATCCAATTCATTTTTGCATGAGTGGAGGGCAGTTAATATAGAAGTGCACTGCATATATGACAAGATGATTGTCTCGAGCATCCAAAATAGGGCTGAGAACTTATTAGAGCAAAATAAATGTTGGCATCATTAAGCATCTCCTTCTCTTCAACAAAGAGCAGGGATGTCTGCAATGGGTGCTGTCTAATCTGCCCTAAGCTTTAGAGGAAGAATGAGGGGAAAGACAGGGTTGTTGGAGGTAAGGCAAAGGGCATAATGAACCTCTGAATGCTGTAGTGGTTCTTGCAGTCTGTTTGATTTGATGCCAGCCTGATTTATCTCATGGGAAGTTTGCACACTGATGGTGCAGGTTCCCCGATATACCTTTTGTCATATTGAAGGAAATAGTTTGAATGTTTGTGATGGTTGCCCATTAGCCAGTTTCAGGAAGAAGATAAGATTTATCTCCTTATCTAGGTCATTGTTTTGGACTACGTGTGAAAGATCCAGACTTTGCTCAAAGTTTTAACTTTTGAATTTTATCTTTAGAAGTCTTTAACAAAGAGAACCTGAAAACGATCCTTAAAGCAAATATCCTGAGTTCCGAGAGATCAAACCCTAGAGCCTTTTGACCAGATTGGTAAGAAAAGGTCACTTGCAGTGATATGGAAGTTCCCCGAAGTAATTAAAATGATCAACAAAAGAAACTGATTACCAAGCAAAAGAATCTATTGAGTAAGATCCGAGCCCAAATTTCGGGGTAATGACAGGTTTGAGTAGGAGTGGCCCAAGACGGCAGCTCACTCAATAAAAACTGTAACTTACTGTCCCAATTTGGAGGTGACTATACATGCAGAACAACGAAGGAAGAATCGCAAGTGTAGGCCGGATCAGATTGATCACCTGAACCACCCTCTCCGTGAACACGAATCTCTTAGTTCACGCTGAAGCCGCGGAGCGCCCGAAAGGGACTGAAAGAAGGGGACTTAGTCCTATCACTGCTGAGGCCAGCCTATTGAATTGTACTGCTGAGGCCAGCCTATTGAACCGTACTACTGAGGCGAGCCCATTGAACCGTACTACTGAGGCCAACCCATTAAATTGTACTACTGAGGAATGAAACCATATTTAGGTGTTTGGCTTCTCGGAATTCTAGGATTGTAAGTATATTATGAAAATAACAGTACTGATTCAAATTTAACTTTGAGTTGTAATTGTAGTTGCTTTTGTAATACTAATTCTTATTGCATTGTTTGGGAAGGAAGTGCATTCGGAGCATTGTTTCTGATATATGTAATTATTGTGTTCTTAATGTTTGTGGTGTTTCTTAAAGCTAAGCAGTGTTATATACGTAGCAAAGAGTTTTAAAATAAAATTGTGTTGTATGAATTAAGTGTGTAATCATTGTGAAATCGTGCAATCAGCTAACTACTCCCCCAGCCAGTGCATCCAAACGAATCAGTAAATTGTGTGGGATTTTCTCTATTCCATAACCCACTAGAGACACCTTTGAAGCTCAGCGGAGACTTCACTAATGGCTCTGGCACTTTTCAGTGTGAACCCTGGGGTTTCTGTGTTCTTTTCCATAAAAACATGTGAGCTTGCTTTTTACCATATGCCTTCTTGCAGAGAGAGGACACCCGGGAGCATCTTGTCTAGGGAAAGTTGAAAGACTTTTCTCTTGATTCACAGAGTATTTCCTCTACTGGTAAACCAGCATTTTCTACTGCAGTTTTCATACTAAGATGTTTGTATTTCGTATGTATGGGCTGGCATATTGCGTGCATTCCCACAGGTGACCGAGCTTAATCCCGCGATTGCTGGACGTACCTGAGGACACGGCTCCGACGCGTTCTGTGCGAGCGCGTGTGAATCCCAGACCTGAAAGGGAGGTGCTGCGTTGGGGTTAGTTTAGCAGGGATTTTTTTCCCTCGGGGATCTTGAGTCAAGTTAAATCCTTCTGGGCCCCGGACAGGGAGGGACACACAGCTCTGACATGCACAAATGTTGGCCTTGCCCTGCTGTGAAAGTATTCGAAGAAATTCACCTTCTTGGTAGCACTCCACCGAGTCTCCGGAGGCTGCGCGTGTGTGATAGCAAAAGCCTTATTAGCGATGACTCGGCTGTATTAATTTATACTAAACTGCATATTATACTGTATAGTACTAAACTGTGTACTATACTGTATTAATTTATACTAAACCGACGTCTGGATATATTATCCGAGGAGCACGTCATTTCTTGGTGCCTGTTGTTGCCTTCCTCGTGCATATTCTTCTGGGCCTTTCGCACTTCTGTTGGACGGAGCTCAGGGACCGTTGGGTGCATTTAAATTGTTGTCTGTACTGGAGATGCTCTAATGACAACATTATTATAATAAATGATAACAGCAAAATAACAAGCTTGCTTGAAATGAAATATTTAACACGACCGCGACCCCAAATTGATTGCCGTGTGCTCTGCATCCGTTTGAATACAAGCTTTGCACAAAACACTTGAAGCTTCTCCCTTGCGTAGTCGGACCACAGCGGCGGGGGCGGATGCGACGCGGGGAGAGCATCGAACCGCACGCCGTAGGGTGGATGCCAGAGAATAGGGTCACTCTTGATTGGGTTGAAAGAAACGTCTCAACCTTTGTGTTTAATTACCATGATTAGATCTATCATCTGTTCATTTATCCAGTCCCGTGGCTGGAAACCTGCCTCCACCCGCTCCTGCAGCAATGAGTTCCGCGAGTTAACTTACAAAAGTACTTGTGAAGTTTTAAACCGTCCCCCCACCCCAGTCTCGATGCCCACACCCCTGCGATGTTGATTTTGGGGACAACTAAAGAGAGAACAGGGATGGCAGCAAGTGCAAAGCCGGTGCTGGGCAGGGGGCTGGAGGAAGGGGCACCGCTGATCCCCACCAGGGCTTCAGGACTACATTCCCCAGCATGCCCTGCGGCTCCCGGGTTCCCGCGCTTCTCTCAACTCCATGCGATTGTCCAATCAGAGACAGGCCCTGCCTGCTACCGACCAATGGGAGGGGACATTTCAGAGCCGCGCTCTTTCTTCCGGGGGGAGGCCGTTAGATGAGTGATTGATAGGGCGAGGGAGCCAATCCGAAAGCGGAGGCGGTCAAGAGGCTGGCCAATCAGAGGGGAGACGGAAGCACTTCAGAATACGAGGGAGAGTGCCGGCGCGTGCCCTTCTGATTGGCCGGCGGCCTCGCGCGCTCTTCTACGTCACCCAGTTCGGCCGCCTCCCATTGGTGGGTGGCGCTGCGGGAGGGGGCGGGGCGGAGGAAGATGGCCGCTCGCCGGAGAAGGTGAGAGGGCCTCGTGCAGCGCCTCCGCGAGGGGCTGCCGGGGAAGAGGCTCCTCTTCCCACAATGCACCGGGGGTGTCGACTGGGGGGACCCCATAATGCACCGGGGCGCCGGGCTGGGGGTTCCCCATAATGCACTGGGGCCAGGGGTAGGAGGTGGGGGGGGCCGTAACCCCCTGCCCCGTAATGTACTGGGGTAGAGTGTGTGGGGTATATTCCCCCATAATGCACTGGGGGTAGTGTGTGTGATATTCCCCCATAATGCACTGGGGGTAGTGTGTGTGGGGGTATATGCCCCATAATGCACTGGGGTAGAGTGTGTGTGGGGTATGTTCCCGCATAATGCACTGGGGTAGAGTGTGTGGGGGGGTATATTCCCCCATAATGCACTGGGGTAGAGTGTGTGGGGGGGTATATTCCCCCATAATGCACTGGGGGTAGTGTGTGTGGGGTATATTCCCCCATAATATACCTTCCTGGGGGTCGGACTCGATGATCTATTGAGGTCCCTTCTGACCCTAACATCTATGAATGAATGCACTGGGGTACAGTGTGTGTGGGGTATATTCCCCGATAATGCACTTGGGGTAGTGTGTGCGTGGGGTATATTCCCCCGTAATGCACTGGGGGTAGTGTGTGGGGGAGGTATATTCCCCCATAATGCACTGGGGTTAGTGTGTGTGGGGTATATTCCCCGATAATGCACTTGGGGTAGTGTGTGCGTGGGGTATATTCCCCCGTAATGCACTGGGGGTAGTGTGTGGGGGAGGTATATTCCCCCATAATGCACTGGGGTTAGTGTGTGTGGGGTATATTCCCCCATAATATACCTTCCTGGGGGTCGGACTCGATGATCTATTGAGGTCCCTTCTGACCCTAACATCTATGAATGAATGCACTGGGGGTAGTGTGTGTGGGGGGGTATATTCCCCCATAATGCACTGGGGGTAGTGTGTGTGGGGGGTATATTCCCCCATAATGCACTGGGGGTAGAGTATGGGGGGTATATTCCCCATAATGCACTGGGATCAGGGGTAGGAGTGTGTGTAGGGGTATATCCCCCATAATGCACTGGGTCCGGGGGTAGGAGGTGTGTGTTGGGGGGCTACATTCCCTCATAATGCCCTGGGGTCAGATGTAGGGCGATGTGTGGGGAGTGGGGGCTTTGCTCCCCCGCAATGCACTGGGGCAGGAATATTGTGTGTGCTGGTGATGGGGGAGGCCCCCACAGTGCACTGGGGTGGATTGCTGGGGCTGGTGCGTGTTCCCCCAGAATGCACTGGGGCAGAGCTGGCTGCAGGGGTGACTGGTGCTTGCTGAGTTGCGGGGGGCACTTGCCCCCCAGCAGCCAGTCAGTGCCGTAAGGGGGGAGCGCTGGCTGTCGGGTGCCCCAGCGCTCTCAGGGGTGCACGTGCATCCCCGTGCGCCCCCTGCGCGGTGCCGCTGGCTGGCTGTGCTGGCCTGTAGCGCCCCGGGGCTTGCTTGCTTCTCCCCCGTAACGTGTTGGGTTGCCGGAGCTGGGTCACGTACCCCTATGGCCGGATAAACCTGAATGGGAAGCGCCCTGCGGTGGCTGCCCACGTGCTCCCGTGCCAGAAAACGCTGGGATGGTGCTCTCCTCTTCTGTGCTGCCAAGCCGAGATGGAGGGAAAAACACTGGTCATGCATGTGGTATCGAGACTGGCCAAGCGAGTCATTCCCAGAAAGGCGTATAACTCAGAACCAGGGCTGGCAACGCTTCTGGTTCCACCTGCGCAGGGAATCTGTTTCCAAAATAGACCTTAGGACGCTTTCTTCCCAGTTCCTTTTACCACAGATACCACCCCCCCCGCGTAACGGGAACCAACGTGATGCATTCACCACAGGTCCTTTTCCGCTAGGACAGGCTTGTGACCCTCCAAAGGTCCCCTCCTCCTGGCCACTGGATATCCCAGATGTCCCCTGAGACCCTCTTTGTTTTCTAACCAGTATGATACTCCACTGAGCGAGCCCCTCTTCGTTTGCCGACCAGTGCTCTGCTCCACAGTTTCACATCGTGTTGCCGCCGTCGCTGTAACTGTAATATGGAATTCATTCCTGTTCTGAGAACGACAGACCTATTAACACGCGCCCTGATTCATCATATGTAAATGATAATATTTGGACAAGGATGGTCCTGCCTTGAGCAGCAAAGGGTTGACTTGAGTAACTTCTTGACTTTCTTTCTAGTTCTTGCATGTATGGTCTGTGATTCTATGTGCTTGCTTAGGCAGTGAGCATGTTAAAACATGGAAGATTGACATAGTAATAATGGCTAGGTTGGTTTAAAAAGAATATGTTTGGGAGATGTATTTCGTTTAATTTTTCTCTGTGTTTTTCAGATGTCGACTATTTTAAGATCCCTTTGTGCCCGTGTCGAGGTCTGGCTCCTCCAAGATTAGCATTTTCTTTTTGATGAATTGAATCTCTTCCTTTTTTACAAAGATGCATGTATCTGCTGCTCTTAGTAGAAAGCAGTAGTTGATCAGAAACTCTCGAAACACCCCTCTTAATATATTATTTTAAAATTTGCCTCCACGGCTCCTTTTTACAATGGTGTATTGCTCAGCTTTGAACTGTCAGAATGCAACGAGCGGGGTGTATAAGAACAGTTCTGTTACCTTCTATGGTTTTCCTTTACAAAACAAACCTCTCTTGAAGCAATGGATTCACAACATGGGTCGGGATATGGGAACTCCTTCTAAGCATCAACGACTGTGTTCGAAACACTTTGAGGACAGTTCTTTCGAAATCGATCCCCTAAAAATTAGGAAAAATAGGCGCTTATTGAAAGAGGCCGTCCCCAAAAAATTCATTTTGGGTGAAGATGGAAACTGGTTAGTTGGAACACCTCGAAGTTTCTGTGGTGTAGTAAGCAATAAAACTCGAAAACGAATCCGGAATCCTGAAAGTTTGAAGGTAATTTAAATGTTTGCTATTTTATTTTGCTTCTTGTAGATTAGGAAAGCACAATAAGTGTTTTGATAGGATTTACTTAGGGAAATCCTAGATGTCGTAGGAAATAAAAAGGATGTTGGCAATGCGGTGGATGTTGTTTTTTCTTCTGAGTGGTACTGAATGGATGTGTGGCACGGAGCATATGGTAGCAAACACCTGGCTAACATTAAAAATGGCTTTGGTACTCTCTTTACCATGTACCACCGTGGAGAATTGTGTTCTGTCTGCGTCTCAGTTTCTGTCTGGAGTTAGTTGGACACTGTATTCTTCTTCCCTTCATGCTCTAAGATAAATCCTGACCCTGCAAACTTGTAGTCATATGAGAAAGCACTCCTTTCCTTGTGTGTATATAACTTCATTTGATTTCAGTCAGATGGCTGGTTGGTGAGATGGCTTTTGCACCATGTTTGGGGGCTCTGTTACCAGTTTCTGTCCAGCTCTGTTTCCTGCGTATTGGTTTGGGCCCGTGGTCTGTTTTAGGGCCAGATCTTACAAACCCTAACTGGAATGGTGCATACATTGCTAAGTCTGTTCACAGGAGTAAAAGGAAATATTCAAGTGACCACAGGCTTATAGAATTGGGTCTCTGGGTTGTACAGTTGATAAAGTTTGTGAAGCTGCTAAATACATTTGGGTGAAAGGCAGAGTGTCCATTCATAATGTTACCATGAGAACAGTAATACTCGCTGGGCAAATATTGATGCAACTTCATGTCAATTGTGTCCTTAACTTTTAAATTAATTGTTAAAAAAGTGTTTACAGACTTAATGTAAATAATGCAGTCTTTGATATACTAGTCTTGAATTAACATGTGTATCTTAATTGACTAAATCCCATGTTTGTGACTTCAGGAGCAAAAACATTGACAACAGTGTCATCAGAAATTGCTTAAACTGTTGGACGTGTGTTGGAATTGAGCAAGATTTAAAGGCCAGAGAAACATTTTATCTCTGGAAAGTGAAAGAGGCAGCTGGCGAGCATGTCATCTACCACACTACATGCAGCTTTAGCTGTCTCAAAGACAGCAGGATCTAGATGAGTTGGAGGGAATTCAGAGAAGAGCAACAAAATAGACTAAAAGTTTGGAAGGTGTAAAGAACTGAAACATGTCTTTTTAAAGGGTGAAGCTATAGCTAGCTGTCTATTGATTTTTAAAGAGAGAAACATTAAGGAGTTAGGAAGCTATTCATGGGGGTATAACTAGGGGTACACAACTGTAAAAGAACAAAGAAAAACTTAGATTATTAGAGAGAGAAATCCTGGCAGTGAGATCTATTAGGCTGCCATTGTGTAATAGCTTGAGTAGACAAGAAAGCATTGAAGAACGTATTGAAGAGAGCAAGGCAGACAAGGTTCTTTGGGTACATGAGATATCTTTTATTAAACTAACTAAATAGTTGGAACAATTGTTCTTTGCAAGCTTTCTGGCACAAATGCCCATCTTTAGGCATAGGGAGAGTCTGTCCTTAGACCAACACGGCTACAACCAGCAACCCTTGAACAGAACAAGTGCATTGACTTGGACCAAATAAGATTTGAAAGTCTTTTCTGCTTTTTTTTTCTGATGGTTTTCAATGCGGGAGGATGTTGTTTTAGTTAGAGGCGAGGAGTACTATTTTGAAACAGGCACAGAAAAAGCAGTCAAGATTTCTCTGAAACACCTGCCAGATATGTATATTTAGAAAACTCAGCAACACGGAGCTTGCACTTGTCAGGATGTAACTGATGCGAGTGATTCTGAGTATTTAACACTTTATTCCAGGTCCCGGGAGCATTTGATGATGTTGCAGCCCATGAGGGGAAGAACTTAGAAGCGTGGCAGAAAGAGCTTTACAAGAAAGTGATAAAGGATAATTATGAATCCATCATTTCACTTGGTAAAGGTCAGTTTTCCTTTGCTTACCGGAAGCTGAGGGATCAGTGTCGTTTCTGTACTGGTTCTTATCCAACCATTATTCCTAAATCCTCCAATTTTAATCAGTTCTTCTATGCTTCAGGTACCTTGTGAAAAAAAGGTCAAACCCCAGTCAAAGAAGGTTGAAAGGCACACAGTTGTGTCTCTAATACTTCCCTTTCTGCTGATTCCTGCTCTGGGTATTACCTTTATTTGTGTATGTCCACCCCTATGTATACAAATGTTATTTCCCCATGTGATTTCGGTGAAACACTCCCTAGTTAAAGGGTGTTGTAAGGATAAAGGGTTTAAATCTTTGCCTGTGGTGTGATTTTTTTTTTTTTTAATAATTTTTTTTAATTTACTGGTTACTTTTTGGTCCTCATACATTTATGTGGAAGATCTTTACTAAATATGACCTGCATGTTCTTTGAGTCTTTCTGAACACTTTCTTGGGTTTTTCAGTCCTTATAAGAATTTAAACCATGTTTGTTTCTCGTTGCATTTTGTCTTTTGGGTACATTTGCAGTAGTTCACAGGGTTTCCAGAGAAACAGTAACGTCAAAACCCTGTGGCTTGTTAATCCGGCAGCTGTAATTTGAGCTGCTCCTAGTTTAATTTTTTTTTCCTGCTGTATTTGCATTTCTTGTAATCCACTGCTATATTTCTTACACCTGCCAATGTCACCAGCAGACAAGGCAGGGGTTTAACAGGCAACAGGGCGCGTCTGCGTGTTCATTAATGTGCTTTAGGTAATGTACATTAGCTGAAGAGCATGGGACATTTTTACATGCGTTTCCAATGCAGTGCCAGGCACCTCTAATTAGCGAGCCATGCTAATTAAAAGCACCTGCATGTCATGCGTGGCTCTGTGCTGAGAAAATGGCAGTGGTGCGCTTTGAACTAAAGCTCATCAAATGTGTTTTATTTCAAAGTGCACCGCTGCCGTTGTCTCAGCGCGGAGATGCATTGTGCTGCTGACACACGTGATGCACGAGGCTCCAGCAGACTTGATTAATTGAGTCTGCTCCGACACGCTGGATTTCCAGCGCATTGGAGCAGGCTCCCCGCATGTGTGTAAGTGCCCACAGGTTTTTGTGATGCTTTAATGAACATTAACATAGGCTAATACACATTAAAGCGCATGTGGAGACGTGCCCACCGACTCCTTGACTACACAGCCATGATTTGTCACCAGAGCGCATTCCATCCTGTGCAATAATGGAAAAATAGTGTAGCATAATTAAAGAGGGCAGCGTAGTGTATCCACTTACCAGTAGAAATGTTGAGTCTCTTGTTGCATAACGTGGAGTTGTTAGAGCTTCTCAATTAAATGCTTCAAGGATTTTTTTTTTTTAATGTAACAAAACAATGTCTATTTACCTCGTTTTTTCTGAGAAATGGCTAGACCATTTTCACTGAAACTTTACAGTAAAATTCACCATGGGGCCAACACTTGGCATGGAAATTTCAGCACAAACCATTACATTTTGGCAAAATTATAAGCACCTGGAAACAGGATCTTATAGTGTGAGGCAGCTTTAAGCATAGCTGTTGCTAAGTATATCACTTGTAGTAAGAGGTGTGGTAGAGATTACAGTACAGGAAAACTTGTGTCTGCTTGGCCTCCAGAGGGCAGTTATGTCAGCCAAGGCAAAGCTTAAATTGGTCTGGCTTGCTTTTTCCTGTGGATGTCAGAGCCCCTGGTTTTTAATAGAAATTCCTGAAAACATGAGATAAGGCAGAAATAAACTGCAGGTCTTATGAGCCAGAAAAGTGAACAGACTGACAGAAGGCCAACTTAAACACTTGCTCAGAGTACCCGCCACCTAATTATGTAGCATTTTTTCTGATTTCATAACTATGATTAAATCCCCATGATATATTCTTTGTTCAGACTATTCCGTTTCCAAAAATTACATGCAGGCAAGAGAAGAGCTGCATGTGAGGGATCGGCAGGACTCCGATGAAAGAGAAATTCCTATGACTCCTAATACAGGTGAGTAATGAGTTAAGACGACTACAAAATTGCATTAAAGCTGGCAGTCTAGTAAACCGTCACAATATCGTACAATTTAATCTCTTCTCATATATTCCTGCTTTATTACCAAACTTGTCCTACTTTTATAGTAGCTGTAAATTACCAGTCATCATTAGGCTAGCAGTGTCTTTGCAGATGATTGCTCAGCAAATAAATTAGCCCATATAGGGATTCATTCTGCTTTGGGTATCCAGGCTAGCTCATTTAATGCTAACTAGGGTACCTCTAAACTGCACTGTAGTGTAGGCAATACCCTGAGACAGTTTCTTCCCTTTCATGTTTTGAGTGATTGTTCAGATGTTGTATTATAACTGATGGCTTTTTCACTACGCAAAATCATGTGGTGCTGTATATTTACAGAACAGTTCTTAAACAAATGGTGTGACATGTTCCCCACTCTGAGGAATGTGCTGTGAAATGAAACATTTGCTTATATTATCATCATTATGCTAGTGTCTAGGTGACGCGTCAAATAGTTTAGGAAAAAGAGGGACTGGAGAATTATTAGTGATGAGCAGGAGGTAGGGAGGATTTACTGAAGGCATTGTAATCAAAGACTTGAAGAAGGTGAGAGGGTGCTTGATGAAAAGGAGAGGGGAAGCTTCCAAAAGTTGGGAGAAGGAAGTAGCAAGATGAGAAAAGAGAAGCCTGAAAAACAGGAAGAGTAGGGGGAAACGAGAGAGAATATTCTGGAGGCAAGATGGGATTTGTCTTGTGGAGAAGTCATACTTCTAGTTCATGTAGTAAAAATATTGACAGTCAGATAGGATCCAGAGGGTCAAAATGATTGGAATCAGATAGGCATCCAGAGTGTTGAAATCATTCTGATCTGTTGTGGTCTTTCTCCGTTCTTGGCAACAAAAGAATTGCTTTAGCATTTTTCTACAGTCAAGTGAAAACTAAGAGCTGGTATTTTCTGTGGGGAGTCTTGAGTCTAAAAAGGTTGAGAACCACTGGTCCAAGAAATTACCCATTGTCCATGAGAGTTGCAATCAGTAAGGGATACGTTATGCTTAGGAGGTTTCCTTTAACTCAAGCAGATGAAATGAATGCTTGGATTCTTTTCATTCCAGTGGATTATGGGATTGTGATAAAAACTGAAGTACAGGATCATGATGAAGGTCCAGAAAACATGGAGCTGCACGGATCGCTTTCAGGAGGATCACAAGACCTGGTGTGCCAAAGTCCTGACAAGGGAGTCGCTTATGAGAGCTACTGGAGTTCAGAATCGGAGCAGAGGAGTCCTGTGGAAAGCAGAATGGGTAACTTCTCACTTGGTGAAGGGGAGTCCAGTGACTTCAAAGACATCCTTTTCTGCGAGGAAACCCATGTAGGCGAAAGACTTTATATATGTACAGAATGTAACAAAACCTTTAAGCTGAAGAGAGGACTTCTAAAACACAAGCGAATTCACACCAAAAGGAATCAGATCTCGTCATACATCTGTACAGACTGTGGTAAAAGCTTTGGTCGCCATGCAGATCTCATTAGACATCACAGAACTCACACTGGAGAGAGACCTTATAAGTGTACAGAGTGTGAGAAAAGCTTCACTGAGAAACCCAGACTTACTAATCACTTACGAACTCACAACATATACATGTAACCAGTGAAGCCAAAGCTCAATTGGAACAGATTTCCACTCAGTCACCAACAACCCTGCCCAGAGTAGATGGCCCTTGGGTGTTTCTCAAATGCAGGAAAAGCTTTTGGGCGAGGCCATTTCTACAGCATTGCATTGAACTGCAGCATAAGATGGACCCTGTTGTTTTAAGTCTGCTCACTCTTGAGCAGCAACCTATTCTCCATTAGCTGTCAGGTGATTCTTGTATGGGGAGGGAACATATAAATTTACTCAATTTTATATGAAAGTTTAATTGCAAAAAAGGCCTCTTCTAAAATAATTACTAATCTAACCTGGCAACAGACCAGATTAGTGCAGCATGTGTGGGAGGTATTTTAGACATAAGAAACCTTTGATGGATCACCCAAGAACGTGCAGAACAGCAGGATCATTCGCAGATGATTACTGGTGGGAAATGGAGCCTTTGGGAGCTCTAAGTTGGACCTCGAGGTTGGGCCTCATGACATATAAATGGGAAATTAGTGGTAAAGTCCATCCAGCGCAGTCCGTGGTGCCAGCACTGAAAGGAACATCAGATGTAAATCTGACCTGAGTTTATGGAATGGTTGAAACCTCCATGGTGTAGAAAGCATGAGATGTGGACTTTGTTTCTGGAAGAGAGAACACAAAGGGTAGTGTGCTCCCTATGATCCCTTCTGTGCATCAGTGAAAGACAGAAGGCAATATTTATATGTAATTTTTTTTAAACCAAAAACCAGCCAATGGCTCCAAGTGCAGGAAAAGTCAGCGGATGGATGGGAGGAGGAGGAGAACAGTGGGTCAGAGCCTGTGAATTTTGTTAAACATCTGTATTAAAGACTCCATCGTTGGAGGTTTTTAAGACCCAGGTAGACAAAGCTTTAGCTGGGATGATGTAGTTGCTGCTGGTCCTGCTTTGAGCAGGGGGTTGGACCAGATGTGACCTCCTGAGGTCTCTTCTAACCCTAATTTTCTATGATTCTATGGACTGCAAATTTTATTTTATTTTTTAATCCCTTGGTTTTTGCTATCTTTATGTCTGTGATACAGATTTTCTTGCTTTGGGAGATTAGAACATTTCCCCCAAGTTCTTTCGGGTGTTGATTTTTAATCGTGCCTAAATACAAGCAATTTGCAGGAGCTGAATGGAAAAAGAAAGTTTGCTCTGCTTTTACACAGTGCAGGAGCATGTAACCATCTGTTTTCAGTGGATGATATCTGGGAACTAGCAGAATGGGAAAGCTGTCTGGTGAGATGCTTCTGATTTTAATGGCTCTAACCTAATACCAAGGTTTAACAGTTGAAAAAAGGGAATATTCCTTAGCAATTAAAAGAACTGTGTTTGTCCTGTGCACATTGAATAGAACAGATTTACTCAGCCTTCCAGTAGGAGGAGTGGGAGCAAGAAGCTTTAACTGCTTTTAAAGTTGAGTGGATAAGTTTATGACATGGCCTTCCCACATAAGCAAATTCAGTAGTGGACACAAGGATCATATGTGCTCAGGAATGCAGATATTTTGCAGTCGTGAACGAGCGGACATACAGATCCCCTTAATGCATTTGGACCAGGACACGGGTCAAGAAACCCTGGGAATAGAAGGCTGAAATCTGGCACTCCAGTGACACTCCCTGTGACTGATCACTCAGGAGGAATTGAGAGCAGAATATGATCCAAGGATTTTGTGCAGAGCACTGCAAGAGGGACTAAAGTAGTTCCCAGTTCTGGGAAAGAACCAGGTAATAACAGCAGCCCAGATCCAGAGATTTGATACATCAAATATTGATGGCAGGTGGAAGATACACACACAGGACATTCAGCAACATGAAAAGTGATAGCTGCTGTAGCTACAAAGCTTCGTTAATTTATTGAACACATATACGGCTTTGTGGAACATTGCTATGCATGATTGTACTTTGCATTTTTTAGCACTTTAGATGTTCGAGGTGCTATACCAGTATCAGTTGAAGAAGACCAATTAAGCAGAAAACATTGAAGAAGCTTGTCAGTAAAATTAGACTCCTTTCCTGCCTGGCAGCAGAGTGACAAAGTACTAGACAATTCCAGTGAGCTGCTAGGGAATATAATGAGAGTAAATAGCTGGAGAGGAATCATGATTTTTGGAGAAGTATTATTATAATGGAACAACTTGTATTAATTTTTGAGCAAAAATAGTTTACAATCTAGAGAGGAAGCCTAATACAAGATGTACTTTGGGGTGGAAGTAGATTGTTGTTATCCTTAGCTGGAAGCAAGCCAGAAAAACATCAAAAGCTGAGTTTTTTCAATATGGGACTTCATAGGAATTGTTTTCATTTACTGAAAAATAAAAGGATGTTGAATATGGTCTTTCAAGACACAAAGTACATATTCTCTTCAGCTTGAGAGAGAGTATAAAAAGAACCATCCCCATCATTACAGCTTTCTGCTAAATGTTTTGTAATTTGTCATCATTATCCTGATAGTTTTTCTAATAGATTATCTGATACATTAACAGTCTGCTGTGATGGTGAACCAGAGTCTTTATTTCTGATCTGGAAAGGGTAAAGACCTTACTGGACTCCAAATGGAAAGGAAAATAGGGAACTTCATTGGGCTTTTCAGAGCTAACAAAAAAGTGAATTTGTTTTGTTTTTAGATTCGGGGCCTAATCCTAATTCCTTTTGAAGTTGTGAGCAGGATTGGGCCAATAATGAATTAACCGATCATTTGTATATGGTGGCTAACCCTTTTTTAAGGCGTTGATGTTATATGGTGTAAAGTAAGTCAGTATTTCAGATCTGAGGCTAATCCTGGTTATTTCTGCCAGTGTTTCTGAAGATATTTTTTTCTGACTACTGATAACATCTCACTTACACATTTGTTCTTTTGCCCTGAGAACCAGCCTGTTCTTTCAACTTGGGATACTGAAAACGATGGATTTGTGTTGAATACTAATAAATATGAGAAATTGTTGCTAGTACCTACTGATGATTTGAACAAGAATTTTGTCAATCCTTAATGTAGACAAGGACAGTGTTGTAGAGCAAATCTTGTCTTCAAGTGGAATTGGTATGCCTGCTACCCTGTATACTGTATGTCGCCTTCCTGTAGGCACGTTTGTATTTTCAGTTCATTCTTTTATGGTAACCTGTTATGTTACGTTGCAACAACCTGCCACGTGTAGCTGTAAGCCACTTTGAGCCTTTTTTGGGGGAGAGGGGCTCCGAAATCAAGTAAATAAATATTTGAAGTATAGTCTACTGTTAAGAGATAAGATTCGGTCAATAAAAACATTTAAAATAATGCAGTTGCCATCACAGGTCAGCTTGCAGCATAAGCAGAACAGAACGTGAGCAGTTGTCCTAATCCAAGGGAGGGATGTTTAGGGATACATTAGAGTAGGACTGCACTCAGTCTAAGCAGTGGAGCAAAGATATCAGATATAAAGATACCAAATTTAGTAAATTTTGTCCAGTATTTGTTAGATGATCACTTAAGCGCACAAATAGGGGGCAGTTTGAGGGTAGGAGAGAGAGGACATTGTGGGTTCATAATCCGGCCATATATTATCTAATTCTGTATCCGGGTACCAGTTCAGGGATCACACCGTTCTGCGACTTTCCTTGTGGGGGTTTCTTTTGAGTTCTTCCTTCAGTGGCAGAATTGAACCCACTATGGCAGAAATTAAACTCTAATACTTTCAGATGGCATGTACAAGAAATGTTCACAGGTAATGAGAATGATAATGTTCTTGTTTAAAGCTCGTGGGTAAACAGAAGCATCATATTATGTTTGTATAATTGGGGAAACCAGTTTGACCTCAAAGTATGAAAGAGCCACCCAGATATTCGTCAAACATCTGACTCTGTCAGCTAACTCTTTCAAAAAATAGACTCTCAGAATCAAGCCATTGGCCATGGTTAGCCTGAAAATCAAAACTTTGCCTTGATACTTCAATTAATTTTGCCTGGAGTAATAGTGAAGCAAACACATTATAGAATTTAAAAAACGTAGCATTTAATTGCCCATGTTTTCTGCTAAGCAAGCAGAGTAGGGTCTGGAAATAACATAAAAGATTAAAAAAAATATATATTTATTCTTCTTTTGCAGCCATAAATAAACACTTCCTGTCACTCTGGTCACCTTGCTTTGTGATGAAGGTCCTATCTGAGATTTCATGATTAATGTTGGCAAATGACGATGTCTGTCTAAAGGATATGATAATATGTAGAAATGTATCTGTTGTGACTGATTTCTACAGGCAGAGATGATCTTTTTGTGTTTGAACAGTGCGTTGTACATCGTGGGTGCTACTGATATACAAATAAATATTAAAGTGGACTTCGCCAGCTGATGTCTCGTAGCAGCACTTTCCAGAAAGAGGGATCATCCTTCACGTTCTACTTAACTCTTGAAGTAGCTTCTTAGTAAAGCAGTCAGATCAGGAACCTCTCTTACAGCTAGTTCCACTGGCTGGCTGCATCTTGTATGTTTGTATCTGATACCTCAAGGTTTTCATAGGACAGCTGCTTGCCAGGTAAGCCTATTTTACACCTTCCTTTTTGTTACTGCTGGAGAGAAGAAAGGGGATTAAGGTACTGTTCTGAAGATCCAGGTTGGGTTTTTGCTCCAAAACATTGCAAATCACATGTTTAGTCTGTGGCCTCTCTACAAAATGGGGCAGTGCTTTCCTACTACAAATGGATGTTGAGGACGTATGCATTAGCTTATAAGTTTTTGTATACTCTGGCAACAAGGGCCCTATAGGTACCTTAGATGGAAAGATAGCTCCGGCCCAACTTTTAGTTCTTTATACATTCCTTCCTTGTCTTCTGAGTCTGGACGCTGCCTAGTCGCACTGGAGGCACTGTAGTGACTTCATTCTACCCTTCGCCATATTCAGAGGGGTAGATAATGTTCATTTTTTAAAGAAGGACTTAAGCAGACCCTGAGCTGATTTTCTGTTTTATGATACAAGGGGCTTATTTGAAGTAGAATCGGAGATGAAACATTTAAACAGGTGTTGTAGGCATCATGTTGTTTTGATTTATGAGATTGGAGCATCTGCTTTTCCAGTCTTTTTTTCCCTTTCTGCCTACTGACATGATTTTAAATTTGTGGGAGAATTTAATACTGATGAAGGTACCACACTTATAGCCCTGACTGCTGGTCGTCTTTGTTTGTTTATAGAGGCAACACGTTGTGACCTGCCACAGTGCAGGTTTTCTTACAAAGCACTACTAACAGGCTTTAACCCTCACCTGGAAGTCTGATTTGTTGAGAAAAGAAGACAGTCCATTCCCCGTGCCCATTGAATCCCTTGCCCATCCACTGAGACGGCCAAGAAGGTTGTGCGTTGGTGACTTTTTTGATGTGGGGAGTTGATACTTAGACGCTGGAAAGTTTACAAAGTTCGTGTCGTGTAGGCTACAGAACAGTCTTCAGCTCTTAGCAACTTTGCACTGGGGCCCTGGGGTTTATGGAAGCAAGCGATCAAACAGTGCCTGCTGCCGGTAATCCTGTACACGGCGATGGTGTACCCCCCCACGCCGTCCTGGCTACAGGCCCGGCGGGTCCAGCGGGCCTTGTGCCTTTTCTTTTGGGGTGGGGGAAGACAAAGTGGCTAGGACAGATATATAAGGATGAGGGTTGGGGGGATGGGGCCTCCCCAACATAGAGACCTTTGTTTACGTGCATTTTCTGAAGGTGGTGGTGAGGGAAGCAAGGGGAGCAGCGGGCATGGTTACCAATTTCTGTAGGTTTTGGGAGGGGAAGGCTCCTGAGAAGGCTGGGCCTGTTCGGGAGTGTGTGGCAGGGAGCGTGGGCTTGGCAGATGTCGCTGCCCTACGCCTGACTTGGAGCCTTTGTTGCGAGTGAAGGCTTGGAGGGGTTAGGGATCGAGGGGCTGGGGGATGCCAGAAAGGTCCTCAAGTTTCTGAGAGGGAAGCAGAGGATGTCAGAGGTTGGGGAATTGAGACCGGAGCAAGTCAGTAGGGTGTGGAAGGACTGGTGGGGAAGGACTGGAAAGGGGAGCCTGAGGAGCTGGCATGGAGGGGGGTGCGAAATGGTCTGCCAGTGCGACAGGTGCTCTATCGCTGGGGACTCTCTCGGTCCCCCCAGTGCCCAAGGGAGCTCTGCGATGAGCCCGAGTCAGTGACACATGTGCTGTGGGACTGCTCGTATGCACAACGGGTGTAGGGGAAGGTGACTACCTATTTGAAGGATACGGGAAGGGGAACTGGGGTCACTTTCGAAAATGTTTTCTACAGTTTATCAGAGGGGATGGATGGGATATGGGGGGTGAGGGTCTTAATCACCTGCACCAAAGTATCCCTATGGAAAGTACGCTCCTTGTTGGCTCTAAAGGGGTCGTGCTTCTCCACGACGGAGTGTCTGCAGTTAGCAATGCACGAGCTGCACTTCCATGGAGCCAGAGAAAGGAATACGAAAGAAGGAGGGGAGGAAAAGTTCTGGCAAGGGCTGGACTTCAGGGTGTTGTTTCAGCCCCGCACAGGTATAGGCTAAACTAAGAGTCAGCCTTTGTGGGTAGAAAAGGCTGGCGAGGGTTGCACATGGGATAGGGACAACAGAGGGGACCTGTATTGCACACGGTGTTTTCTTCTTTTATTTTCTGAAAAAGTACAGGATGACTGACACGACAAGTGTAATATGTGCTTGAGAGACACTACTCAGGGATGTTTGTATATACCGTGAAAAAATGAGATGACGAGCAATATGATATCAATTACAATGCGTTTATTATGTAATGTTTGAAACCTTGTGTCGTACTACCTTTTGTGATATCCCTTGGGGCATTCGCTCAAACTGATAGAATCCCAAGGGGCAAATAACAGCAGTCTTCTCTTTGTCCTCTTCCTGCAGAGGTATCCGGTAGTAGCCGCTGCGGAGGTCTACTACTGAAAACCATTTGCTCCCTACTAAACAGTCCAAAGCCTCCTGCACCC